TAGCACAAAGGTCACAAACTGGCTTGCTCAAGACAAATTTGCCTCACATGTATTTTGTTTGGCCTGCACATGGTCTTTAAGATTTTTGAACCAACACTAAAATCTTTAAGAGATTCTAGCCCAAAATCCATATTTCTGACTTCTGTTGAAAAATCACAACACTGGGCCTTCATTTGTGCTTATAACGACAATTTTCAGGAGCTGAGCAGCAGCTGCCCTCTTTGAGAGGGGCTCTACAGTTCATCGCTTCCTACCATTCACTCATCCAAATGATGCATATATACTCACACCTGGTCCTCATTTCTGTTACCTGTTTGGCCGCTATTGTAGACCATGTCATACAGTCTAGATTATTATTAGAAACCTCTGACTCTCATTATAGAACCTTCTCTTTCTTTATCATGGCCGTCCTGATGGTTGTCCATGGTCCCTGTACAGCCTGGGAAGGGAAGAAGCAGCAGGTTGATGTGGGGAGGAAGAAGGAGAGAGGGTAGAAGGAATAGAAACCTGTGATCTATGGATCAGAGTCTCCATTTTTGAAGCAATAGAATTGTGAAAATAACAGATGGAATCTGTTCCAAGTTTTTGAGACCTCACAGTAATTCCTTATAGAGCCAGTTTGCTAACCCTTTTTAGAATCTTGGGATGTCTACCTTCTCAGCTGGACTTGGGCAGGAATGGTCCAAAGAAATGAGCTCAAATGGACCCAAATTATAGAGTCAGGTTTGTAAATAGTCAATTTCTTAACTTGAAAATAGGAAAGTTAGTTCCTTTTTGTTGAGTACCTGCTGTGTGTCTGGCATGTGCTAGATGCTATAGGGGAAAAAGCAAGGTAAGACAGGTCTGCCTTCAAAGAGCTCAAAACCTCGTTGAGGTGGCAAGAAATACAGGTGTGAAATAATTTGAGAACAATGTAAGGCAGCACCAAAAAAGGGATTGTCTTGGATGTAACCTTGAGCCCACAGTATTTGGGTGGGCAACAAGGGATGGGCTCAAAGTTAGGAAGAGAAGCTATTGAAGAAGCCAGAGCTTGCAATGGCTCTTGACTGGCAGAGAAATGGGGCAAGACCATTCCACATAGGGGATTCCACATGGATATACACACAGAGAGCAATGAATGAGGTGGGTGTGGCACTGTAGACCAGTTTTCCTTTTGAAAAGATTTCCTCTCTGGTGTCACGTACCCAGAAAGCCAAATGGAGAATCAGAAAGGTCCTCGTTGAACAGTGGAATCAGATAGCTCCTGAAAGCATTTCACATTCTTGGCATAGACATCAACTTTTTGGCTCCATGAAACAAGCGGGGCTAAGCAACATTTATGGGTACTCCTGTGTGTCTCAGACAGGACTGGCGGCATTGACATGGAAGAAAAGAAAGGAAAAGAGTACGAAAAGTAGAAAGAGCAAGGGAAGGGAGAGAGAGAGAACAGGAGGAACAGCGTGGTAGGAAGCAGTCCCATGCCTGCAGTCTAACCTGGGGAATCCTGTGCTGCAGGCTACCCCCTTTTCCCTCCCCACCCAACACCCTTAGATCCTAAGGAATGCCCCTGCCCAGAGAAAGGGAAGATTTCCCAGATGTGAGCTCTCCTCTTCCTCAGCAGACTTGACAAATTGCTCACTTACCATCTCTCCCAACAGTAGGCTTTATGCTGATCATGTTTATGTTCACTTCCAGGCCCACTCAAACCTGCTTCTTCCTTAGCCTGTAGGCTTATGTTAATTTCTGAGATTATACTTTCCTGTGTCCAATTTACTTTATGAGCCAGTTGCTCACTTCCTGCTATCTTGTTTGTAGCTGCTCTCTCTAAATGTTTAACACTGTTTACTCGCTGCTCCATTCCAGCAATTGATGACCAATGTGCAGCCAACTTTCAACTATTTAGAGGCTGATGCAACCACTCTGTGAAGGAAACAGGTTTCTTGCAAACTCCTCCTCCTCCATTTTTTTCCCACTCCCTGACTCCATTTTCTGGCCTCTTCCCTGTTTGGGAATCCCTCGTGTCAGGTGGGAGGGAGGCAACGATGTTGAAAAATAGTCATTCATCCTTTTGTCAGTTTGCCAGTAACTGTGGGTTGTTGTTTTATTTTTTCTAAAGAACTTTTGGGAGTAAAAAGGAACTATTGATTAAAACACTATTTGTCTATTCTATGAGAATCTCAATTGTCCATGTTCTGTTCTCCCAAGTTAAAATGAATATTTGGTACTGGGTTTTTTTCCCCACTAAAGTTTAAGAACATCAATATTGCCCAATCTTCTAAAATTCTATTCATGCTTTGAATACTCAGCTCCACCCCTCCATAAAGATTCCTCTGACCAATCCAGTCCTCCCCATTCTCTAGCGCTAGATCCTACCACAGACTCTTCTGTGAGTCTAGTGAGCTGCCTCAGTTTCCCTATTGGACTGAGAACAGACTGGGTCCCAAAACACACATATTCAAGTTGAAAGATATTTTTACTCATTGATCAGGTTCTATACACGCACCCAAATATCCAAGGAACCCCACACCTTTTGCCTATAGCTGCTATTTACACCAAACATTATAGACATAGCAGTTTTATCAAAAGTCCTTTTACTATTATTAACCCTTCCTGAAGCCTAGAAGTCCTCATTTTACAGAGTACTTCTTCCTGACAATAACAAATTCTCTCTACCTTCCTGGGACCTACAGGAAGTTGGACAAACCCTGTCTGGCCTTGGTCTTTTGTCCCCTGAAGTCCCGTATACATACAAAGTCAGTATAACCATTTGAGGAAATTTTCTTTTCAGCCCTCAGGCCTTGACTTAGTGACATAGTCTTTAAGATTACTGGTTGTCCACATAAGTGCACATGTAAGAATAACATCTATTGAATGTTGGGCAGCGGGGGGGGGAGGAGGGAGGAGGGGACGGGTATTTGCATACACAAAGAGTGCAATGCGCACCACCTGAAGGATGGACATATTTGAAACTCGGACTTGGGGGGGGGAGCAAGGGCAACATAAGTAATCTAAACATCTGTACCCCCATAATATGCTGAAATAATAAAAAAAAGATTACTGGTTGTCTTTAGCCTTTAAAACAAATATTCCTGCAGTCTCTACTACTCATTTGAAACTGAACAGATACTACTATGTACTGTTACCAATTTTATGTAAATTTGATCTACCCAGCCAAGCCCCAGAACGTCAGGAAAAAATGCCCTTTACTTCTCCATATCCCTCATTATGTCTCAGACAGAATTGGGTACATTGTCATTGCATAATTTAAGAGCCAAGCTCTAGAGACATATTGCCTAGGCTTGCCTGAATTGCTAACATTTGATAGGCCCTATGCTCCTTCTCTCACTCAACTTTAATCCTGCCCTTCTATGCTTCTCAATTCTTGTGCCTAGGTCCCCACTCTGATGATGGACACCCAGTTCTCTGAGTTCACACCAGACATCACTCCCATCATGCTGGCTGCTCACACCAATAACTACGAAATCATCAAACTGCTTGTCCAAAAACGGGTCACTATCCCACGGCCCCACCAGATCCGCTGCAACTGCATGGAGTGCGTGTCTAGTTCAGAGGTAGACAGCCTGCGCCACTCCCGTTCCCGACTGAACATCTATAAGGCTCTGGCAAGCCCCTCACTCATTGCCTTATCAAGCGAGGACCCCATCCTAACCGCCTTCCGCCTGGGCTGGGAGCTCAAGGAGCTCAGCAAGGTGGAGAATGAGTTCAAGGCTGAGTATGAGGAGCTCTCCCAGCAGTGCAAGCTCTTTGCCAAAGATCTGCTGGACCAAGCTCGGAGCTCCCGGGAACTGGAGATCATCCTCAACCATCGAGATGACCACAGCGAAGAGCTTGACCCTCAGAAGTACCATGACCTGGCAAAGCTGAAGGTAGCAATCAAATACCACCAGAAGGAGGTAAGCTGAACTCATTTCTACTTTCAGGGAAGCTTAAGGCCTCCGAGTCCAGAGCAGCAGAGCAAGAGACAACAGTTTTCAACCACTTAGCCCTCTAGCAAACAAATGGTTAAAGAGCCCTCACAACAGTAAGGCCTATTCATCCAAGGCACAGACAGCCTCTGTATATTTTCTTTAGGGTGAGATAAGCAGACATCTGATGTTTTTTTTTTTGAGGGGGGGTTATAAAAGCCCTTTTATAAAGCCATTTTTAAACAAAACAAAAAAAAGTTTACAAAAGAAAAAAGATACATAAAAAGAATTACTTGCTTCATATGTCCCAAAAAGAGAAAAAAATAAAGGGGACAATGCCAACGTGCTCATAATACAAAATACAAGCAAAAGATACACATACTTAAAACAGAGCTCAGGAGCAGTCCTGGAAACCCTTCAATAAAAGCAAAGCAGGAGTTTTTTTTTCTCTTTGTCTATGCAGATACTTACAGAGACTGGGATATGTAAAAATTAAGTATCACAAAAGACCATCACACCATTCTACCAATGCATGTTGCATCTATAATCCACGAACATGGTCAACAAAATCATGTTCACTTCAACCGCATTTCATTTAAAGAAAAAAACCTTTTAAATAAAGTGGGTACATTCAAACTTTAACTTCCTTAGTACCATGCTGCAGATTTCAGCACTGTTAAGGTATTGCAAGAATGCCCAACCCTCCGGTGTCTGATCATGTATCTAGCAACACTGCAGGATGAAGAAAGAGATGGTCCCATCTCAGCCTATGAACTAATTACATTTAAGCAGGTTCCCCTCTTTTACCCTTCCTGCTCAGAATACAAAAGATTAAGGACTAAAATAAAGGAAGACTGGGAATGACATCTGATTTTCTGATGGGAAAGCATTCGTTCATTCAACAAATGCTTATTGAGCTCTGTTCTAGGTGCTTGGGATTCAGAAGACAGGCACTGACCCTGCTGTCATGGAGCTTACCAGCTGGTGGTAGACGTTAAGTAAATGATCACTAGAATGAATATATAATTACATACTAAGATAAGTACTCTGAAGGAACAGTGAGAACACATGACCAAGGATCCTACCTTGCATTACTGGGGCCATGGAAGGCAGTGATCTTGGAAAGCTCACTGTCCAGATGCTAGTAATTATTGACCCAACTGAGTCCCTGGCAGCTCCTTAGCAAGAAGGCCAAGATATGCATTTTAAAGGAGTTATACTCAAGGTTTATTGTTCAGTAGAGGGCTAGAGAAACATCTGCTATGGTCCGACCTCCCGACTGTTAGGGTCCACCCCTTTGAGGGAGGTCTGTTCAAGCAGATCACAGGAGAGGCTTTGCTTTCCAACTAGGCCAGATTTACAATCTGTTAATAGCAGGTGCCATTCTATGCTGTCTTATCAAACAATTATGGGGAGCCTCCTGTAAGCTTAATTTAGCTCTTTAAAGAGGCAGCATGGTACTGTGGAAAGAGCAGGGGCTATAAAGCCAGAGTACTTGAGGACAGAATTCTAACTCACTAGCTATCAACCCACCAGCTGTATGACCGGAGAAAAGTGACTCAAATTTTCAGGGCATTAGTTTTCTCATTCATAAAACAGAGATGACAATAATTTCTCTACTTCATAGACCTGGCCAATCTGAAGGTAACAATCAAGGGCGAACCCTAACAGTTTGGAGATCACACCATAGCAGATGTCTCTCTAGCCCTCCACTGAACTATAAACCATGAGTACAACTCCTTCTTTCATAGGGTAATTGTGGGAAATAAATGAGGAAAGCTACTGTTCAGTGCATGGCACCAGAAGTGCTTTAATGTTCATTTCCATCTCTCTTCCATGCCACCTGGAGTCGGATTCAAACAGGTGGAACTTAGAGGTGCTTGCCAGCTAAAGAGCAACTGGCAGCGCCATCCCTTCATGGACCCAGGCTCTAAGGCAAACCTCACTGCGTGTTTACTTGGTCCCTTTCTCTCAAACAAATAAAAAAACTACTATGCTTTTGAAACGAGGCAAAAATGAGTACCAGGGGCAAACCTGGAAGGGGATAACAAATGACAAAAGAGCAACATGGAGATGGAAAGGGCTATATTGGGGTAAGTGGTAAATAGCTGGGCCCACCAGTGAGTCTCATCCTATTTTGCCATTTACTCCCTTTATTTCAGTAAGCCTGGATTTACTTAACCTCACTTTCCTCTTCTGAAAAATGGGGAAAACAGGAGCACTTACCTCCCTGGAGAAATGTAAAGATTAAATAAAATAAAACAGGTAATATACTTATGCATAGCACAATGCTAAGCATACCGTGGGCATTCAATAACTATTAGCTGCTATTGTTATTCATTGTTATTGTTACACATGGAGGACCCATGGTGTATGGTCTGATTCTGTGCATTAAAATTGCAGGGAACAGATATAGCAAAGGCCCATCCCCTCTCTTACCCTCCTTCCCTCCCACGGCCCTGCTGTTGATGTGTAGTATCAGTTATTGTGTTAAGTAGTCTGCTGTAAGGTCTGATTGCTTTTTCCACACTTCAATATATGCGTACATTTCCATTAATGATACATATTACAGTTTCGGGGCTTTATTTCACTTTACATAAATTGTTACAATACTATGAGAAAAAAATCACAGGTATTTTTAGAACGTGAAATGCTTCCAAGTGACAGGATGGTTAATGGGAGCAGAACAGTTTAAAGAAATAGATAATTGCAGAATCTGACTGAAGTTTGCATTCCTCATCCCACTAAATAAGAGATGAATTTCACAATTTTTACACTCCGCATCCCCCTGAAAATTGACAAAGCATTTTTTCAAATAACTTCACTGCAATATTTCATCAATTGCACATTCACAGGTCACCCTCCAACTATTTTATGATTCGATCCCTTCTGCTCACGTAATCTTCATTTGCCAGTTTTCGTTAGTGCTCCATTTGGAAACTACTGTGATGACTTTCTTACTCTCAAGGGGATCTGCTTGGCACGTGACCATGGAATCGCTTTGGGTTCTACATTAACTACCCTCCAACCCTCATTAACCTTCACGCCATTTTTTCCCTTTTTGTTTTAGTCCTTTTACTGTCATGAAACTTTGTCCCCTGTGTTCCTTACTTCACAATTTCTCTTATCATTGCAATTACAGAATATCTTTATGCTACTATATGCTCATACAATATATTTCTCGTACCAACTTGAATGTGCCAAGGGGTTATATTTCTTTTTGCTCTCTTAATTAAGCACCAGAAGGGCCGGGCGTGGTGGCTCATGCCTGTAATCCTAGCACTCTGGGAGGCCGAGGCGGGAGGATCGTTTGAGCTCAGGAGTTCGAGACCAGCTGAGCAAGAGCGAGACCCCATCTCTACTAAAAAAATAGAAAGAAATTAGCTGGACAACTAAAAATATATAGAAAAAATTAGCCGGGTATGGTGGCACATCTCTGTAGTCCCAGCTACTTGGGAGGCTGAGGCAGGAGGATTGCTTGAGCCCAAGAGTTTGAGGTTGCTGTGAGCTAGGCTGATGCCACGGCACTCTAGCCCGGGCAACAGAGTGAGACTGTGTCTCAAAAAAAAAAAATTAAACACCAGAGATTCCAACATTGTTTCCAGGGTCCATATGCTGTGAACACTAAAATGAAAGAAGTCTTTTTTTATTGTGATAAAATATACGTTAATATAAATTTTATCATTTTAATCATTTTTAAGGTTACAGTTCAGTGGCATTAAGTACATGCACATTGTACGACCATCATCACTAGGATTCATTTTCGAGGATGCACCAGTTTTCGGTTATCCACTTTTCTTTCAATAGTGAGCCAATCTAAGTAGAGTTTCATATTTTGCATACATTATCTTTAATCCATAACACTGACAAAGTAGCAACCTCTTAACTATTCAAAATTATGGATACTTAGCAGTAACACAAAAGTAATACAAAAAACATTGTATTTATGCAAAGATAACAATTTTAGCCCTGGTGCTATTTACTGATCATTGTGAATCAATCAATTAGAACCCTGGTATTTAATTGACTGAATCATTTCAGTCAAAGTACATCAAACTCCAACTCCAGTTTTGCAGCAGGAATAGTGAGTCACTCTCAACTTCCATGTCAATAATTTTATGATAAAGAATATAATTTAAGAGAATCACATAAACTCAAATATGGCCCAAAGTTTAGTCTCATAGCCAGAGACTTCAGAATAATTTGGGGATTTATATATTTTGCTTCAAATTTTCCAAGATAAATTATCTTAGCAATGGCCATAGACCAATTTTAGCTCAATTAGTTTCTCTTCAAACTAAGCCACAATGATTAGAAAGGCAGGCTTGAAAATTCAGATATATCCTAAGGTTTGTACTCCAAAGGCATTGCTTCAAGAACGTAAAACATGATTTATACTCATCAAAATCTATAAATCCCTTCTGAATTGTGACTTCATCTCCACTAAAAACTCTGTAATCTTTCCCAATCTGTGAATTTCAGGGTTTTTTTTTTAAAAAATAGTCTGTGGTTTCATTGAGTATCAAATGAGTCAACCTCTAATTTCTCTCTGTTCAATCCACATGACTAGTGTAAGGCTGAGTATTCTTACCTTGTTGAACGAATCAGCAATATCCTTGTTTGGGAACTATTTTTTTTTAATTCTAGCTGTAGTGTGTTTGGATAAAAAACACAATGCTTTGAGCTACTGAGTTTCCAACAATTCAGGTGTCTGTGAGAACTTCATTCTCAAAAGTCCTTCATCAGAGGAAGCTAGTACGTCTGTTCAATAAATATCTACAATCTAATCTTTAATTAAGTGAAATATACAGCCAGTGTTTAAGGCCACAAGCATAAAAAAGGTCATGATCTTGGTCTTTATCATATTACACAATACACTTGATCATCAATTTTTGCAGTGCAAACTCTCCTCATGTAGAATGTGATGAAACTGGGCAAACAATCCTTTACTTTGGACACAAAGAAATAAATGAATCATAACTTAATGC